GCTCCCATTGAGCCCCGGGCCCGCCCGCTGATGTCATCCCCCACCCGCCGCCGCCCCGACGCGCTTAAAGGGCCCGCGCCGTGGGCTCTGCGCCCTGGACGCCGTGGCCAGAACACCTCGCTTTCTGGAGCAGCACCTTGCAGTGACGCGACCTCACACACTGACACTGACGCCAGATAGTTTGGGGGCACAGGCGGCGAAAAGGAGATGTGTGGGAGGGAGAGAAGAGGACGAGCAAAAAGCCGGGGCTTTGCAGATCCAAAGCCCCCTCTCCGCACCACCAAGCTCTCTACCCTCAAAGCACGCAGTACGAAGGCCAGGGGATCCTCGTGTTACTGCAAAAGGCGAAATGTTCGAGATATAGGGGTTCGGGGATGGGCAGCGAACCCAGACCAGGTGGGTTCAGGGGCCATCATTTTAACAAGGCAGCAAGAGATGGAGGGATGTTGACGAAAGTGCCAAGAAGGGGCCTGGGCTCAGCTACACTCTTCTTCCATGGAAAAATCAAGGGCAAAGCCCTATTCTTTTCCCTTTCTCTGGGCACTCAAACTGTGATGACAGAGAAGACCCTCCAGACTTTAATCTGTTCTCATTTGTTGGAGCTTCACCACCCACCCCATGAATGAGGGACTACACAGAGCCAACACTGGAGTTGAGCCCTGTGGTGCACGTTTATCCAAGTCACCTCCCTGCTCTGGGCTTGGGTTTCTCCTCTGCAAAACATAACAACCCGTCCCTCCCTTAATTTGTCACCACTTTCTACCAGCTTCCAGACCCGTTGATGAAAGGTTCTAGAGCAGGGTTATTAGGAAGATGATATTTACACGGTGCCATGCAAAGTTCCAAATGATGACACACACCGATTCACACACACAGTAACTGTGGGCACACACATGGCACCCGTCCCCGGAAGCCCGTTCATAATAACCTCATCTTCCCCTAAAGTCTGAAAAGCTTAGTCACATAGCCTCTTGGTAGGAGCCAAGTCGTTTTCTCAGGGGGCAAGAAACTAAGGCCCAGAGAGGTCAAGGGGCTTGTCCAGAACTACACAGCACAGATCATGCTGTTCTCTGTCCTGAGCCAGTTTCTGAGATCAGGAGAACAAGCAATTTGCTCCTTGGGGAGTCGGCAGCCACAAATGGGGACCAGACCCTCCCAGCCAAGGCAGTCTGATCTAGGGACCACAAGGCAGTTGTTTTGTGTTGTTTAACTTTTCTTTCTTTTGTTAAGTGAGTCTCAGTGCTTTAAAACAGGGCTTCTAGCTGGTTCATTCCGGTTGACTCCCTACTGATAATTTGCAGTTCCACCCCACATAGGACTGGGCAGTGTTTCATCATTTTGTTGTCTTCAGGGTCTGAGGAGTCAAGGTGGCTGGACAGCACCTAACTCTGCCACCCACCCCAGATATATTTAATTAGAATCCACAGTTTAACAAGACCACAATGTGATTCTTATGAATCACCTGGAGATTTTATTAAACTGTTGATGCTGATTCAGTATACGAGGGGGCTTCAAAAGTTTGTGGAAAACTGTAATTAAAAGACACTGGAATTTTCCCCACAAACTTTGTGAAGCCCCTTCTTATCTGGGATGGAAATGCAAAATCTCAGCAGGGGATGGGGCTATAATGAACCAGTTGGAAACTCTGCTTAAAAATGAGAAGACTTCATGCTAAAGATCCTCATTTCAGGCTTCTCTTGAAGTTTTAGGTGATCTGGGCTGATTCACTCCCCCGGAGCTGGTCACACTCAGCTGGTCTGGGCAGCAGCTGCCTCCCTGAGTCAGAACTCAAGGGTCACCTTTTGGTGTCCTCTCATCAGCTTGTTTTACTTATTGGTGTCACAAACGCATACCCCCTGCCCCTGGTCCCTACAGGCCTAGCCCTAGAAGCTTCCCACCACACTTCGCTACCTTCAGCACCTGGTTTCATTCCAATCTCTCTGACCCAATCCCCAATGATGTCTGCTTCCTGTGGCCACACATCCTCCGGGAGTGAGCTGAGAAAATGCAAGTGCCCAGATGGGGGATCTAAAGGCAGGGTACCCTGGCACTCTCAAGAAAGGGGAAAGGCTTTTATCTCATTTAATGTTCTGAGACAACAACTGATTACCCTAAACCAACATTCTTTCCCTCTGTTTATTAAGAAGGATAGGCTCCTACAATGCTAGTTACTACTCCTGGGATTTGAACCTGGATTTAGCTCCTCTTTCCATTCCTAACTCACCCAATCACCTTGAAGTCCCCCAAATCTTTGCATCTGCACACTGTCCCATCTTCTCCTCCCCATCTCATCCTGCCCCCCACTCCTACCACTCACTGCCTGTTCCCTACGCCAACTCAGTCTTAAGGACCCCCGCCGCCTCCAAAGCCCTCCAATGGGATGGACTGGCACAGTGGCAGCAACAATTGTTGTTGTTGTTGTTGTTGTTAAGTGCCGTCGAGTCAGTTCCGACCCATAGCGACCCTGTACAGGGTTTCCAAGGGTATAAATCCTTACGGGAGTAGAAAGCCTCATCTTTCTCCCGCGGAGCGGCTGGTAGTTTCGAACCGCTGACCTTAAGGTTCGCAGCCCGATTCGTAACCACTACGCTACCAGAGCTCCTTGGAAGCAACAATAGGCCCAAACAATTGTGAGGATGGCACAGGGCTGGGGGTGTTTTGTTCTGTTTATATAAGGTCACTATGGGTCGGAACCAACTCGACTGCACCTAACAACAACAACAACAACTACCTCCCTCAAAGGCACACTCTTGCATGGTGGGCCCTAGTCCTCCTCCCTCCTTCTCCCCCAAGAAACCAGCCTGTGAGTTCTAAGAGCTTCAGAGCTCAGCTCTAAGGGGACACATACCTGTAACTGAGGCAGGGTTCTCGCAGTGGCCAGCCTGAGGTGCTTCTCAGAATGGTCCCTCGGTAACTAGCTCCTGACTTGAAACCCAAGGGTGTGGCTGGCAAAACGCTCTACTGCCTTCTCCACACAGATTCACCAGAGGAGGTAGTCAAGCCTGCAACAATAGGTGCCCAGTGAGGACCCCGCCCTGTGGCCTGGGTCTCAGCCGCTCAGCACTGACTCGGGAGCAGAATCTGCCCCACTGCCTTTCCACGCTGACCTTTCCAGACCACATGACACCTGGGAGCACTGGGCTAGGGACCCCAGGATAGTCCTCGAACTGCCAGACTTCGAGGATGTTACTGCTGCTGCTGCAAGTAAACATGAAGAGAACAATTTTGGGTCGTCCCAGGCATCTGCTGCCTGCATCTTGGCTGCAGACAAGGCCCTTCTCAATCTGTGCGCCATCCCTCTGAGCTCTTTCGGGGCCTCACCTCCTCGCAGTCTGCCTCGCACTGATATTATTACTGTTCTTAGGAGTTCAAGGACATCTCACTTCACTCCTTGGTCCTCTAGCTGCTGCTGTGTGAAGCCAGGCCGGCACCCACCTCGGGGTCTTTGCCATGGGGGTTCCTTCTGCCTGCTCTGCTCCTCCTGCAGAACCCCCAGGTTTTAGCTCACAAGTCACCTACACAAGGGGGCCTTCTTCCTGTCTTCATCTGAAATCCTGTCTCCACTGGACACTGCCTGTTCCCCTTCTCTACTTTACTTTTCTTCCTAGCACCTATCACTGTATAGCATACTCTGTGAATCCCTAGGATACTAACAAGTAACATGCTTGACTGCTAACCAAAACATTGGAGGCTGGAGTCCACTCAGAGGCACCTCAGAAGAAAAGTCTGGTGATCTCCTTCCAAACACTCAGTCAGTGAAAACCCAATGGAACTCCTTTCTTCTCTGACACACATGGGTTTTTAACATACTCTATGTTGGAGTCCTCGTGTGGTGCTGTGGGCTAATGTACTGGACTGCAAAGTTGGTGTGAACCACAAGGTTGGCAGTTCAAACTCGTTAGCAGCTCCTTGGAAACCGTGTTCAGGGTGTCTATGGGTCTGAATAGATTTGATGGCACTTGACGACAAACAACAACATGTTGTACTTGTGTGGCGCTGTGGGTTAATGAACTGGACTGCAAGGTCAGTTTGAGCTGCAAGGTTGGCTGTTCAAAACCACCAGCCACTCCTCGGAAACCCTACACAGGTTTGTTATGAGTCAGAAGCAACTCAATGGTAGTTAACAATATGTTGTACTGTATGCTGCTGGCTGAAAGTGAAGAGGACTTGAAGCACTTACTGATGAACACCAAAGATTATGGTCTTCAATATGGATTACACCTCAACAGAAAGAAACAAAAAAAAGTCCTTACAACTGGACCACTAAGCAACAGCATGACAAACAGAGGAAAGACCGAAGTTGTCAAGGATTCCATTTTCCTTAGCTCCATAACCAACACCTTTGAAAACATGTAGTCATGAAATCAAACAACATATTACATGGGCCAAATCTGAGGCACAAGGTCTCTTTAAAGCATTCAAAACCAAAGATGTCACTTTGAGGACTAAGGTGCCCTAGTGTTTTCAATTGCTTCATGTGCATGCGAAAGCTGGATCAAAGAACTGATACCTTTGATTCATGTTGTTGGTAAAGACTATTAAATATACCATGGACTACCAGGAGAATGAACAAATCTGCCTTGGAATTACAGCCAGAATGTTCCTTAGGAGCACGGATGGTGAGATTTCATCTCGCATGCTACGGATATGTTATCAGGAGGGACCAGTCTCTAGAGAAGGGCATTGTGCTTAGTAAAGTGGAGGGTCAGCGGCAAAGAGGAAGCCCCCCAACAAGATGGACTAACACACGCTGCCAACAATGGGATCATGCATAGAAAGTATGATGAGGAAGGCATGGTACTGGTCGGTGTTTCATTTTGTTGTACATATGAGTTGGAACCAACTCAACAGCACCTAACAACAGTATTGTACTTGGGAGTCCCTGGGCGGTGCAAATGGTTAATGTGCTCAAAAGGTTGGGGGCTGGAGTCCACTCAGAGGCACTTCCGAAGAAGGCCTGGGGTCTTCTTCTGAAAAATCAGCCATTGAAAAGCCTAAGTAAGGGGCACACTTCTACTCTGACACACACAAGTCAGAGTCAAGTCGGTTGTTGTTGTTGTTGTTAAGTGCTGTCGAGTCGGTTCCGACTCATAGCGACCCTGTACAGAGTTTCCAAGGCTGTAAATCTTTACGGGAACAGAAAGCCTCATCTTTCTCCCGCAGAACAGCTGGTAGTTTTGAACTGCCGACCTTAAGGTTCACAGCCTGATTCGTAACCAGTACGCCACCAGAGCTCCTTAGTCAAGTCGGTAGCAGCTGACAAACTGTGTTGATTAATTTTGATCTGGGTCCCTCACTAGAATATAAGTTTCATGAAGGGAGGGAGTGGTTGTTATTTTGGGTACCACAGGATCGGGCAGTGTTTTGTTCTGCTGTGCATAGTCGATACCGACTCGATGGCACCTAACAACAACGTGTTGTCAGATCTTAGGAATCCTGGTGTAGGATAAGTACTGGACTGCTAACCACAAAGTCAGTGGTTCAAATCCACCAGCCACTCCTCAGAAACCCTATAGAGAGTGGCTATGAGTCAGAACCAACTCAAGAGCACTCAACAACAACACAATGGTGCCAGA